ATTACTCTTTCACACAGATCTACCTCTGGGATGCAGAGACAAAAACATTTCACAAGTTCAAGGACATTTACGTGCAGTCACCCCGGTCATTTACTGTGGTGACCACTGACCGAAGGAGTTTTATTTTCTCCTCCAGCTTCAAGGGGAAATCGATGGTCTTTGAGCATATATTTGTAGATTTAAGCTTATAATAACTACAAAAGCAGTACTGATCAAAATATACAGTGCTTAAAAAAATTATGAGACCATTGTTAATGCTGGCGGATTAACATTGCAGAAACATTTAAAAATGACTTGGCAATTACCAGTACTGATAATTTAGGACAGCTGTGGGATGAACCTCATGGTGGTGGTCAAATAAATTTGTTAAGTGCTGCATGTTGGTTAGTCGCTTCATAATGAGTGTATGCTGTCAAAGAAGTGTCAAATGCTGTGTATTGTACTTATGCAACTAGATTTATCGTTCTTGGTTTGAAACTAAATTTAATCAAGTTTTCTGCAAATAATGTGATATGGATTCAGAAAATTATGAAGGCAAGGTTAATGTTAGACCAAAGTAACTAAAGGCTGACAGAAATATAATATGACAATGCAAATGCATTAAGAAAATGTTATGGCAATACCAATACATCCTTAAAAAGGCTTGGCTTTTATCATAATTCTGTCAAGCCAACAAGCCAGACACTGTCCACAATAGCCAAAGATATCACAGACTATTACCCTCCTGCCCCACACAGGAAGTTAGTGAGAAGCGTGACCATTTACACCCTACAGCTGATGGTGTAGTTGTGCAAGCAAAACAAACTTTGTATGTCACGTCAAAATTAACACTGGCAAAAGCAAATCATGTTGTATGGTGTTGCATACTCTGTTTAATCTGCCATGTCTGAAGGAAAAAATGACCACCGTTATCGACATTGGTATTGCACAGATGTCACGGTTTTTGTAGTTTCAAAAAATTACAAAAACTGTGACATGTAGTCCTCAAAATTTTGGTATTTGAAAAAAGTGTGCATTTTTGAGGGTTTACGCTTGGAAGTAAAATGCTGAATGTTAGTCAGAAAGTCATGGCAAGTAAGAAAATGGACACTTTCTCTGAGAAGCCATCGAAAATTTTGAAGCCATTTCATTGCAGTAAGTGTTATGACTGCAAAGATAAAAGTGCATGATGCACAGTTTTCTTCCTTACCTGAAAACAGAATATCCATCCATCCATCTTCATCCGCTTTATCCGGGGCCGGGTCGCGGAGGCAGCAGCCTAAGCAGAGAAGCCCAGACCTCCCTCTCCCCAGCCACCTCCTCCAGCTTATCCGGGGGAACACCAAGGCGTTCCCAGGCCAGCCAAGAGATATAATCTCTCCAGCGTGTCCTGGGTCTGCCCCGGGGCCTCCTCCCGGTGGGACATGCACGGAACACCTCACCCAGGAGACGCCCAGGAGGCATCCTTGTCAGATGCCCGAACCACCTCTGCTGGCTCCTTTCGATGTGGAGGAGCAGCAGCTCTACTCTGAGTCCCTCCCGGATGGCTGAACTTCTCACCCTATCTCTAAGGGAGATGCCAGCCACCCTTCGGAGGAAGCTCATTCCTGCCGCTTGTATCCGTGATCTCGTTCTTTCAGTTACTACCAACAGCTTGTGGCCATAGGTGAGGGTAGGGACGTAGATCAACCGGTAAATTGAGAGCTTTGCTTTTACACTCAGCTCCCTCTTCACCATGACGGACTGGTGCAGTGTCCGCATCACGCAGCACCAATCCGTCTGTCAATCTCCGGCTCCCTTCTCCCATCACTCGCAAACAAGACCCCGAGATACTTGAACTCCTCCACTTGGGGCAGGAACTCATCCCCGACCGGACAGGGCACTCCACCCTTTTCCGGCTGAGAACCATGGCCGAGGATTTGGAGTTGCTGATTCTCATTCCCGCTGTATCACACTCGGCTGCAAACCGTTCCAGTGCGAGCTGGAGGCCATCACCCGATGAAGCCAACAGAACCACATCATCCGCAAAAAGCAGAGATGAGATTCTGAGGCCACCAAAGTGAAAGCCCTCCGCCACTTGGCTGCGCCTAGAAATCCTGTCCATAAAAATTATGAACAGAACCGGTGACAAAGGGCAGCCCTGGCAGAGCCCATTACCCACCGGGAACGAGTCCGACTTATTGCCGGCAATGCGAACCAAGCTCTTGCAACGGTTGTATAGGGATTGAATTGCCCGTAGCAATGGGCCAGACACCCCATACTCCTGCAGCACCTCCCACAGGACACCCCGAGGGACACGATTGAATGGTTCTCCAAGTCCACAAAACACATGTAGATTAGTTGGGCAAACTCCCATGCGCCCTCAAGTATCCTTGAGAGGATGAAGAGCTGGTCTAGTGTTCTGCGACCAGGGTGAAAACCGCATTGTTCCTCCTTTCCAGCACCCTGGCATAGACTTTCCCAGGGGGGCTGAGGAGTGTGATCACACCCTCCGGTCCCCCTTCTTAAAGATGGGGACCACCACCACCACTCCTCGGAAGACGTGTCAGTGGGATTAAGGAGTTCCTCGAAGTATTCCTTTCACCACCCGACAATTTTCTCAGTCGAAGTCAGCAGCGCTCCGCCAGCACTATACACAGTGCAGGTAGAACACCGCTTTCCCCTCCTGAGACGCCTGATGGTTTTCCAGAATCTCTTTGAGGCAGTCCAAAAGTCTTTTTCCATGGCCTCTCCGAACCTCTCCCACACCCGAGTTTTTGCTTTAGCCACTGCCCGAGCCGCATTCCGCTTGGCCTGTCGGTACCTGTCAGCTGCCTCCGAAGTCCCACAGGCTAACCAAGCCCAATAGGACTCCTTCTTCATCCTGGTGGCTCCCTTCACCTCTGGTGTACACCATTTGGTTTGGGGATTACCACCACGACAGGCACCAACCACCTTGCTGCCGCAGCTCAATGCAGCATCTTCGGCAATGGAGATGCTGAACAATGTCCCCAGTCTCCCTCGGAATGATGTCGGCTTGCTGCCGGTACGTTGGGGTATGTTGAGGGGAGATTAGATCTAATCTCCCCTCGGCTTGAAAATAGAATATTACTAGCTTAAACCTAACTCCACTAGATTTATATCAAACTACTTTATGGCTATGCTACTGAGTGCCTATTTAATAGCAACATAACATACATAATTTACTTTTGATTCCTATGCAAAATGTATGATACTAAGTGTTAATATGGAATAATAACCATAATGTCTATTGTGTGCTACTATGTACCTTTAAAGCCTTTGTAGGAGGCCTTTTCATTCAGTCAAAAAACTAGCGTGCCCTTTTCTTTACAGAATGTTTGATATTTGTCATATATTGTAAAGATTTTTTTTCACACATTAAACAATATTAGAGCCTGATTTTTGAAAATTGACAGTTAGATAAAAATGACAAAATGCCAACTAGTATAATCAATGTGTTTTGATAGCTTTGATAACAAGTTTGTCCTTTAATCATTCCTAATGCACTACCAACAGTGATGTATACATATTTTTTCCCACGTCATTAAAAAGTAATGCTGAAAAATAATCATGTTTTTCAGATCTTGAATCCCATGTAAGAACAGTTTGTGGAAATGCATTAAAGAACATTTAACCACACCTGTTGTATTAAATTGTTTTTCCATCATGTTTTGCTGATGTAAACATGAAACCATTAAAGTAAAGATAAAGTGTTGCAGACAGCATGTCTAAAACTGAATGTACTGTACGTGTTTTTTGATTAGCATAAGGACAAAGACAGAATCTCATATTTTGTTGATTTTAGGAAACAAGAAGATGGACAAAGTATTGTGATAGTGTGGGACAGTTTTCCCTAGTAGTAGTGATTTAGACCATTACAGAAAAAGTAAGGTGATCATAGAGAGCATCATTATAATCTGCTATTGTTATAACTCAAAGTGCATTGATATGACTGAGGTTCCTCTTATAACTCTGACTTAAATTGCTCTCCACTTGTCTACAGCATGCTATCAACTGTATAAATGATTATTCACTGACCAATCTCAGGGTTTGTGCACAAGAGCGTCATAAATACAACTTCAAGCCAAAAAAAGGGGAAAACTCACACCTAACAACCATATAACAACAATAGCACTAGTATAAAAAGGTTTAAGGTTTAGTCACATTTGACAAAGAAAAAGAAAAAGTAATTTAAAGGTTTTCCAAGGTAAATCACATCAGGCTCAAAAATACTGTTGATTTGACCTCTATGGTAGAATTTTAGGACACAGGAAGCACAAATGGCTATTGCATATTTATTCAGTTCAACAGTGCAGTTAGTTTTAGTCTTACAGCATCATCACCATCATAATCATTACCATCATCAACAACAACAACAATAATACTAAAATCTTGACGACATCTGATAAAATGTCATATTTTGAAATAAAATATAGAGATCAGCTGTATGCTGACATTGTTAATGCCTGCCTTCGTTTTAATAAAGTTAAACCATCTTATTTTCATGATTTGGCACTAGTTAAGCTATAAAACAAACAAACAAACAAAACAGAGAAACAAGTATTTTTACCCCAATTCTTATTGACTATTTTATAAATAGAGGGACATTTATTGCCTAATACAGGGGTGGGCAATTCCGGGCCCCGAGGGTCCTGCAGGTTTTAGATCTCGCCTTGGGTCAACACACCTGAATCACATGATTAGTTCGTTACCAGGCCTCTGGAGAACTTCAGGACATGTTGAGGAGCTAATTTAGCCATTTAAATCAGCTGTGTTGGTTCAAGGACACATCTAAAACCTGCAGGGACACCGGCCCTCGGGGCCTGGAATTGCCCACCCCTGGCCTAATACATTATTTGCCACGCTATCTTACTTGTTTAGGGGTGATTACTATAATAAACACACACAACAGCTCAGCTGTTAGGCACCTCGTTCCGTTTTGGTTATTTTGTTTTAGTCTCTCTCTGTTTTACGAGGTTCTGTAAATGCGACGTGACGCTTTTCTGACGTCGAGACGGACGGAAGTGATGCAAATCGTGTTTCTCGATCGCTTTAATCGGTTTTGGCTCTGATTTCTGCAGATGCAGAGGGGTGATGCTTCTTTGAAACTCACTGTGCTTTGGTAACATTTGTTCCGCCGCAGGACGCGATGGATCCGTCCAGGAGGAGCGAAAGTGACTGGCAGGGGCTGGTCAGTGAGGTGAGACTGCGAAGACGCAGAAAGGACGAGAATGAGGAAAGAGCGTAAAAAACCTTCACTGACGCACACTAATTGTGGGACAGGTGTCCTGTCCGGCTAAAATACTGTGGCGTACATGATCGTTTCACTGTGTTTTAGTTCTGTCTGCTATCGCTTGTTCGGATCCACTGAAACACTTGTGTCCAAATTAATCCGAGCTCACGGGATTAAATCTCAGCTGCTGTGGTTTCTCTTACTTGCAAGGACTGCTCATGTATGAGGAAGAAGATTTGAGTTTCCTTGTGCCTGCTGTTGCCTTGTAAAGTTACTGACTTGCACCACACTGCAAGTTGCAGCTTTAATGAAGAAACACGTTCAGATGGCTGCATATAAACGCGTTTGCTCGAGTATTTCACTTGAGTGCAGTCAGTGTTGAACTGCTTTGCATTTAAGCTACTGGAGTAGTTTTATCCCAGTTTATGCTTCATGCTACTGTTTTTGTCCACAGCTTTGGTTGTGCAATACTTTGCAGACATACACTCATTAGCCACTTTATTAGATACACCCTGCACTGGGTTGAACCCCTTTTCCTTTCAGAAGTGCCTTAATTCTTCATGACATTAATTCGACAGAGTACTGGAAACATTTTGGTCCATATTTACATGCTAGCATCACACATCCATGATGTAAAGCTCCTGTCCCACCATCTCTCTCTATTTGACTTAAATTCGGTGAATGTGGAGGCCATTTGAGTACAGTGAACCCCTGCTCAAGAAACTAGTTTTCACAAAGGGTCAGAGGGCATTGTAGCCTCGGTTTCCTGTTCATAGTTGACAGGAGTAGCACCCTGTGTGGTCTTTTGTGGCTGTAGTCCATCTGCTTCAAGATCTCATGTATTGTGCATTCAGAGATGCTCGTCTGCATTTGAAAATGTTTAACCAATACATCAGATGGGCAAGCAGTTAAAATAACAAGGAGCTGCAACGCAAACCGTTGCTATTTTTTTACCATCAAAAACAGTTTTCGTGCCACTATAGTAGTATATATGTGGGTTGTTTTTTCTTTTACATATTTCACAGTGCATTTGATCTTTAATGATGACTAGAGAACTCTTTAGCCCTCAAATAATCAAATAACGTTATATCGACTACATGCCAGAACCTTTTGTTTTTCCTCAAAACCTTTCTTTCTCTGCAGTTCCTGGTTTGTAAGCGGAAGTTGGAGAGTAAGAAAGAAGCTCTTCTGATTCTTTCTAAAGAGCTGGACACCTGTCAGCAGGAGAGGGATCAGTACAAACTGATGGCCAACCAGCTCCGTGAGCGACACCAGGGACTCAAGAAGAAGTACAGAGAGCTCATTGTAAGCTGATCTGACGCAGTTTTAAAAGATGCATCAGAGCGGAGGATAAAAACTACTGCTATTAAACTTTGTGGCATCTAATGACAACTTCCTTTGTCTTTGTGTCACTGACAGGATGGAGATCCTTCTCTGCCTCCAGAGAAAAGGAATCAAGTAAGAGATTTAAAAATGCTAATCACTGCACGCAGAACTGTCTTAACTGTACTTTGATACACTTGCATTTCACAGTGATGCTGGAGACTTTCAGCAAAGTCAGTAATGTGGTCACAAGTTGGAGATCTCTTTGGATGGGATGCTTAAAGCTTTACTGCTATTTACTCCTAACTACTAACATCTCTACGGCACTCTTTGTTTAACAATTACAGCAGCTTTATCTTAGAATAATATATCAGATCTTTGTCTGTCTGTTTGTCCACAAACTTCTTATCCGTATCTGAAGGTCCTTATCTGTATTGGATGTTAAGATCTCATCATGCTTCCTAGCATGAAGTGCCAACATCCTAAAATGATCCATTTTTAGCTATGTTCCTCAAACTTTATAAAGTCATTGTATCATTTTATTTTTACGATGGTAACGTCTGATTTATATCAACAAAAGTTGAGTTTTGTATTATATATTTATCGCATTACCTAGAAACCACTTAGCAACAAGCTCAAATCACCCAGTTTTAGTGTTTATGCGCCTACAGTACAGCACCTTCTAAAGGGATGGTATCATTTTCATTTCAGTCAACAGCATGAACAGCCCAAACAGTGCTGTAGCATGGGTGTGTACTGCTTATCATAATGTGTCATAGCATGACACACACAATGTTCTCACAAGTTGCTCTCTGATATAAAACTGTTGGTTAATGACACAGTAACAAAGTCACCACTGAATGAATCACAGATTTAAAAAAAAAATAAATGTAATGACAATTTTATTTTTATGGTGCATTTCTTTACATTCAAACTCAGTGTGCTTAAGATCAACAATAAAAACTGAAAAAACAAGAAGAACAAGAAAATAAAACCTTAAAAGAATTTAACCTGTTTTCTCTCAAAGATTACACAGAAGAAGAAGAAGATTTGGGAAACATTTAAGCACAAACTTTTTAAGAATTTTACGTTTGCTTGTTTGAACCTAATGTTTCAAATTGGAATGATAGAAGCTAATTTTTTTCAAGTACATTATCTGGTGGGCGCTGTACCTGGAAGACTTATATATATATATTCACAAACCAACTCCACACATGGGGCTAACATGTCTCTGTATTTACTTTATCATCAGGTGAATTTAGCCCAGCTACTGACAGACTCCAGAGAGCGAAACTCTCATCTGTCCGAGGAGGTGAAGGAGCTGAAACAGCGACTACTGGAAGCTCAAGGTGATAACAAGGTATGTTTCTAATGTATATTTGCCTCTCATTATTCATAAATACATTTCCAACATACCTTTGTACATTTATTTGTCAGTCTAAGTAACGATCAAGTGGATGAGTGTTGTTTATTTTAAGGACAGGTTTCAAATTGTACTGTACAAACACACCAAAGGTGTATAATTGCAGCTTAGTTGAGACTTTTCTTACTTTGTGCTACCACAGCTTCTGCGGATGACCATCACCAAACAGAGGCTGGGAGACGAAGAGGTCGGCGCCCGACACTTTCCCGCGCATGAGCGAGAAGATCTGGTCAAACAGTTAGAAAGGGCGAGAGAGCAGGTGAGAGCCCCCTGCTTGATTTTGACTATTCAGCTGATATTCAAATAATGGTTCACTTTTTTTATGATATACATTTAGTTAGTAGTTCTAATTGGTTCTTGCATTAGAAAAAGAAAGTTTATATTTATTTATATTTTATTTGTAAGTATTTTTTTATTTATTTTAAAAGCAATCACATGAACCCTATTTCCATTTCAGCAAAATCTAACCCAGTGTTTTCACCCTTTGTTAGCTGTCACAAGGTCACCATTTCAGTATCAGTGTCAGATGAATATGATTAAAAAAGTATGATAGTTTAAAATATCACATGAGAAATAAAAGTGCTGTGCAGGAAAAAAATGGAACCGATTAGCAGTTTTCTTTAAATGTAGGTGAATATTAAAGCTGCTAACACTGGTGGCAATTAGATTTCTTTAAGCTGTGACACTTATTAGATGCTGTGCAGCGAGGTTGCATATCCCTTTCTGTCTGCTATGTGACATTGCAGAACAACCAGTAATTATACTTTAGATAGATGTTAATATATGTCAAGCACAACATGTACATTTTATCCAAATTGGATTAAATCTGTCCCTTAGATCAGATTTCCTGTTGCCAGAAGGTGGCGCTAGGATTATAACTGAATATTTGCTTGCAGACCTCTTCGCTTAGCAATAATGTAAAGCTTGTGGGAGATCCGATGATGTTCGTCTGAGTTATAGATGAAATGGCTGACAAAATATCAAAATTCACATTATTTAGCATTTTGATTAGACTGACCAAATAAAAAGCCAGTTTGATTCTGAAGGATCTGCATTATTTAGTGTACAACAGCTGTAAATGGGGAAAAGAGAACACAAAAATGCAGGAACGGGGTGCTAGTAAACCTTTTATGCATAGCCACAAGCGAAACTGTCGTCAACTTTAAGCAATTCTGCTGGTTGTTCAAAGTTTAATTAGTTTTTTGAGTACGTCAAATCCCTCAACAATGGATTAATTTCAGGAAATAATAATAAAATTTGGAGTTTCAAGGAGGTCCTTGCATTAGTTAGAGCTCCACTTTTAATGAGAAGATGAAATATATTTGACAAGAAGAGACTTGTATTGCTAGATAAAATTGTTCTACATCTTGAATCTTGTTTGGGTGCAGAACGAGGTGCTGGAGAACAGCGTGAAGTCGCTCACGGATGAGCTGCAGGATGTTCGAGC